CCGCCCGTCCGCGCCCGCTGCCCGCCGCCCGCCGCCCTCCGTAGCCCTCCTCGGAGTCCCCTGCTCCGTCTAAGTGTAGACCCCCGCGGTCAGGGCCCACCTGTCCCCGCCTCGCCTCCCTCCTTCGAATACGATTGGTTCTCCGCGCTGTCTGTTCTCCCGGGAACGCCCCTTCTCCTAGGAGACAGTTGCCCCGACCCCGCCCGCGATACGCCTCCTGGTCCCAGCGCGGGTTCCCGCCCCTCGGGGGCCCACTTGGGGCCTAGCGGTTCTCAGCTGCCCACCTCGCCTGCCTGCCAGGCTTCAGGTTTTCCCCTGGTAGTCACCCACCTGTCCGTCCTCCTGGGTGGGGCCTGGGCATGGTGGTCCCGACCCTCCCCACCTGCCTACCGGCTGCGCACCGGGCTCCACGCAGGCAGCTCAGCCTCTCCTATCTTCCCCCACTTTGGCAGGACAGTTGCTGTGCGACTTGGACAGTAGAGGAGCGCCTCCCAAGTTTTCATCCAACTGCCACCCCCAAAGTTCCACCCACCTCCCCTCAGAGAGGACGTTTGATGCCAGGCCCCTGAGATTCTCATTGACAAGCCCCTCTGGTCCCTCTGAGCTGAGTCTGCTGACCCAGTTGCCCATCTTTGCGGCTTTGATGCCTAGCCATGTCTGCCTCATCCTCAGGCGGCTCCCCCAGGTACTACCGTGTGGGGGGCGCCTCCCCACTAGGGCAGGGAGAGGTGGTCAGGAGCCCCCAGGTCAGGCCTGCTGGAAGCTTCCCTCTTCAGCTTCCTTTGTCTGTATGCTGAAGGGCCGACCAGCGTACCTGGAAGTCACCCTTAAAGGGGAGGAGGAAATAAATGCACACACACATCCCAGCCCTGCACCCTGGCTCCTTACCTGGCAGTGCCACAGCTTCCTTGAAGCAGACACAACTTGCCCTTGTTTCATGGAATAAGTTCACAGCCCCCCTCCTGTTTTTGGAAGCTGAGTGCAAATAAATAATGATAAGATAGGAGCTGAATGTGCAGTTAACAGGGTGTTCATGGAACCTGGGTAGTTTGATGGTCTTTTGCAAGCGTATTGTTTCTAAGTGAACAGAGATGTTGTAAGTGTGTGTGTGTGTGTGTGTGTTGTGGCAGGGGTCTTGCCTTCTCAGATTTGGTATTTGGTTAAATGAGTAGGAGGAATTAGAAAGTGTTACACATATACAGAAACTTCTATACTGAAGTGCTCAGTTATTATTATTTTAGTGGGTTTTTCTTTTCTTTTTGAAACAGGGTCTCCCTATGTAGTTCGGACGGTCCTTGAACTCATGTAGCCAAGGGCTGGCCTAGAATTCACATGATCCTCCTGCCTCAGCCTCCCACGTGCTGGGATTTAGCCATGTGCTTCCATGCCTGGCTCAATTATTTTGGTGTTGCATTATTTTCTCCAAGAATTTGTGGGAGGCCAACATATTATTTGGGGGCTGTCAGGAAGCAATAGGGTAAATCAGGTGATGGTTCCAAGTCCCTTCCCAACGGGGAATTGATGGATGTGTTACCAGTTTGGGACAAATTGAACTTCCGCTGTCTTTGTGAATCTGGTGATAGGACTGTGGCTGTGTATGAACAAGGGGATCTAGCTCAGCGGCGCAGCACCTGCGTGGCAAACATGGCCCTGAGTTCCATTCCCAGTACCCTCCCCCCGAAAGGGGGATTACACACGGCATTAAAATTTGCTTCTGTTTCTTAGGCACTTAGTGGAATATTTTTGAGAAGTGTTTTTTTGTCCTAAGTGAATATTCAAACTTTAATTTGAGTGACAGTGACTGAGGTAATTTTTTTTTTTTTTTGTACTGGAGATTGAACCCAGGACTGTCACACTGAGCTATGTCCCCAGCCCTTTTATTTTTAATTTGGAGAAGAGGTCTTACTAAATCATTCAGTTGCCTAGGTTGAGCTCAAACTTGTGATCTTCCTGCCTCAGCCTCCTGGAGTGCCGGGATTAGAGGCTTGTGTGACCGTGCATAGTTACTTAGTGACACATCTTGGTGTCCACAGGCTTGAAAAGGGATTGAATTCTGTCTTTATTGTTAGTCACTTTTTTTTTTTTTTTTTTTTGTCTTTTTGAGGCAGGGTCTCGCTATGCAGTTCAGGCTGGTCTTGAGCTCACTTTGTAGCCCAGGCTGGCCTCAAACTCACAACAGTCCTCCTGCTTCAGCCTCAGCCTCCCGAGTGCTGGGATTACAGGAGTGCGCCAGTTAGTCACTTATTGAGCCCTTCTCCAGAGCTAGATCTGCTCCAGGTGCCGCCCTGATTGGGGACTATCACTCTTGTCCACTTGAGTCCCTTAGCTGCTTCTCAAGGGCAGCCCGACAGGATGACAGCCAAGCTTTTCAGCAAAAGGTCCTGATCCGTGTGATGGGGTGGCAGGGGCCCAGGGCAGCAGTGCGGGTCCGCCCCCCTGCTGGGCACCCTGTGCTGAAGCCCCGGGAATCCGGGCTGCTGCTCCTGGCTATGACCGCCCCCCCCAGCTCCACCCGCAGTGTGCAGTGCCGAAGAGTCAGGAGTAGGGGAGCCCAGGTTCCGCTCATAATCTGGTTCTTGTGCCCGGGTGCAGGTTTCCATCGTGCGGGAAGAACGGAGTCACGAGTCTCACGCAGAAAAAAGTCCTGAGAACACCTTGTGGCCCGCCCAGCGTGACTGTGACGGTAGGTGACTCGCGTGCTAGGTGCCCTCCCCGCCTGCGACCCCGTCAGAAGTGCTTCTGCATGCTTCCTAGGCGCTGTCTCCACCTGCTGGGCGCCGCCGTAGCCCAAGTGCTCTGTACCGTGCTGTTACACATGTCCTGCTCATTCTTGCTGCGTTTTAATTGTTTTATGGTTTGGGGTTTTTTTTTTTTTTTTGCCTCTTTTAAAGCCGCGAGCAATGAGAAGGTTGTCAAAACATTATTCCATCCAGGCAAATGCCAAAATTTTTAGAATAGAATTTAAAAAAAATAGGGGGAAAGAAAATTTCAGCCAGGTGTGGTGGTACATGCCTCTAATTCTAGCCCTCGGGCGGCTGAGGCAGGAGGATTGCTGCAAAGTTTAGGCAAGCCTGGGCTACATAGTGAGTTCAAGACCGGGACTGGGGATTTAGCTCAGCGGCACAGCGCCTGCCTGGCAAGCGCAAAGTTGTAAGTTCGGTTCCCGGTACCAGAAAAAAAACAAAACCAAAAAAAAATAAAAGACCAATCTGGATGATATAGTAAGACCCTGTCTCAAAAAAAGAAAAAGTTAAAAAAAAAAAAAAAGAAAAAGTTTTACACGTTGTACATGGTGGTGCATGCTTGTAATCTCAGTACTCAGGAGGCTGAGGCAGGAGGATCACCATGAGTTCAAGGCCAGCCTGGATTATGTGGTAAGTTCCTGGACAGCCTGAACTACACAGTGAGACCCTGTCTTAAAATCACCAGAAAAAAAAGAAAGAAAAAAAATTTTTTTTAAAGAATGAAGGTGTAAGGGCTAGGAGCTGGTTTTTGGGTGAGGGGTGAGGGGTATAGAGCTGGGGCTCTGCCCCATTCGTGGTGTTTTGGTTTTGCCTTGTGGTCCTGGACGTGGAACCCAGGGCCCCACACATGGTAGGCAAGTGTGCAAACACTGGGCTGCATCCCCAGGCTTTCGTGGTTTCTTTAGAATCTGCACAACCTTCTCATCCTAACCATTTCTGGCTGCTTTCTATTTCCGGTCATTTCTCTGCCTGCACTGTGACTGCTGCTGTACCATAACCAGTCTCTGCTGTTCCTTGCTAATCCGCATGCGCGGCTGACTGAGATCCCTGTGTAGAAGGCTCCTTCTGCTTGCCAGCACAGTACCCTAAAGCCAAGGGGAGCTCTGCACTTCCAAAGGCTTGGACAGGGTTTCCTGTCCGAGGCTTGCAGGCCCTTCTCTGGCATGGACCGGGCGCTCCCCAGTGGCTCCAGCTGGGGTGTCTGCAGGAGCCTGGCAAGCGATGCTCCTGCCGCCCGCAGCCCCGCCCGCATGCCATAGTCGGCTCCTGTCCTGCTCGCTTGGTGGCTGGGCTTTCAGGGGCCCCTGCAGGCTGTGAGCTCTGTGTTCACGCCCAGTTTACTCATCCACAGATCAGCCTTTTTTGTGTTGCCCTCCCCCGCCTGCCAGACGTGAGCCATGAAGGACCGCTCTTCAACTCCCCCCTTACATGTTCACGTGGATGAGAACACCCCTGTCCACGTCCACATAAAAAAACTCCCGAAACCAACAGCCGCCAGCAGCCAGGTAGGAGCACACGGGGGGTGCGGCGACGGCTGTGTCTCGGCGGCTCCTCCCGCCCAGCCTGCTCGCTGCTGGCTCCAGAGCTTTGGGAGACGCGCGCTTTCTTCCGGAGGCCGCTTGCCTGCTCGGAAGGTAGGCACCTGTCGTCCAGCAGTGGCCGCAGCAACCTCAGTCAGCGGACGCAGCCCTGCGGCGTTGGAGGCGATCTACCGGAGTGATCCCATGCACACGGGAGAGAGGGTGACCTTGCATCTGTCCCTTTTCCACAGAAATCTCATAAGCGTGGAATGAAAGGGGATACCGTGAATGTGCGGCGGAGTGTCCGGGTGAAAACCAAGGTACCTTGGATCCCCCCTGGAAAGTCATCCACCCGGCATGTGGGATGCAAGTGGGAGGTAGGCTCATTCCTGTTCGGGCTTTTTTCTCGGATGGGTCAGGTTCTGTGGGGCCTCAGACTCCGCACAGTCAGGGTTGGTCCCTGTTCATAGGCCCCGTTTACCAAGCGCCCAGATGAACCCAGAAAGTATTCAGCTCTCCCAGGTCCTCACGGTACTGCCAGCGGGTGGATCCTGGCACCCCAGCATAGAGATGAGAGCGGCTCCGGGAGAGCTGGGAGCTGCTGGGCTCTCGGAGGTGGCGGGACTGGGCTGGGACCCGCGGAGGCTGGGTCTGGAGGCTGAGCTGCAGCCACTGCTTCACATGGGAGAACCATGTGTGTGTGTGAGGTTCCACGTGTCTGTCACAGTGTGTGAAGCATAAAGATACCCGTGTCCCCTCTGGAGGGGTGAACGTATCACTACCCCTAGGTGCTGTCACGACCACTTTGGGGTCCATGTCCTGGGGAATTACCTTCAGTATGACAGTTGGAATGGCCAAGAGAAGTGATGTGGTTTTCTTTCTGCCACACCTCGATATATTTTGTCTGTCTACAAACACACTCTGTGTCCATGCAGTCTCTTACTTTTCCATTTACCCATCCGTCCACCCAGCCGTCTGTAATTCTACTCTCCTGTCCATCTGTCACTCACCCATCCACACTCCTACCCATCCACCCACCCATCCATCCATCCACCCGTTCATCCATCTCGTCTCTTATGCATCCACCCACCACCTGTCTCCCCAGCCCTCCACCCACACAGTAACTCATGCAGCAAGCATCTGTTGAGAGTTGTTCCAGGCACTGCTGGACCCAGGGCGACAGCTCCAGATTGGGCAGACTTGGATCCTGCAATGAAAACATTCAGTAAAACGAGGCTAACAGCCTTTGGCCAAGTTTGGACAAAGATCTCATTTTTGGGAACCACTGTAAAGTGGTGATTCCTGATCTATTTTGAAAATTCAGCCTTGTTTTGTTTTGTTTTTTGTTGCTGTTGTTGTTTGCTTGGTTTATTTATTTATTTATTTATTTATTGGGTACCAGGAATCGAACTCAGGACCTCATGCTTGCCAGGCAGGCGCTTGTGCTGCTGAGCTATATCCCTGGCTGTTTGCTTGGTTTTTTGAGGCAGAGTCTTACTATACAGTACAGGCTGGCCTTGAACTCACTGTATAGCCTAGGGTGGCCGTGAATTTGCAGCTATCTTCCTGCCTCAGCTTCCTGAGTGCTGGGATTACAGCTGTGTGTTACTATACTGTGCCTGGCTATCAGTCCTTGCAGTTCATTACTTTTGTCGTTGTTGTTGTTTTGTGTTTTTTGAGACAGGGTGTTGCTGTATAGTTCAGGCTGGCCTTGAACTTGCAGTGATCCTCCTGCCTTGGCCTCCCAAGTGCTGGGATTATAGGCATGTGCCACCACACCTGGCTATAGTTCGTTACTTTTAAAATTAGAAAGCCACGTGGTGGTGCACACCTGTAATCCCAGCACTTGAGAGGCTGAGACAGGAGGACCGTTGCTAGTTTGAGACCAGCAGCCTGCACTGCATAATGAGACCCTGTTTCAAAAAAGAAAAAAAAAAAAACAAAAGACATAAAATTAGAAAGTCAAATAAAAGTCATTATTCTGACATTGATAGTTATACCTTATGGTTTTAACTTCCTGATTTACCATTTTTTCCTTAAAGGACAAAGGGAACAGTGTGTATATTATTCTTAAGGATGAATGGAAAGAATTCTGATTAGTAGGAGAAAATGCAAGAAGCCAGGCATGGTGGTGCACTCCTGTAATCCCAGCATTTAAGGAATGTTGCAAGTTCAAGTCCTGCCTGGACAATTTAGCAAGCCCCTGTCTCAAAGAAAAAAAAAAGAAAGAAAGAAAGAAATAGGAGTAATAGCTCAATGCAGTGGTCCTGGGTTCAAGCCCCAATATCAGCAAGTGGGGGCACAAGAAAGATTGGAGTTTGGGGCCGGGGTGTAGTTCAGTGGTAGACCTTGTACTCCGCATGCAGTAGGCCCCACATTCAATTCCCAGCAACAGCCCCTCCAAAAAGAGAAATCAAAATGAAAATGTGCTCTTACATTTTTAAATAAGTTATTCTCACTAATAATCATTAAAATGTAAGTTTTAAGCATTAATATTTATTATAAAAGAAATAACTATCATTTTTTTATTGAAAAAGTTTGGTTTTGTTTTTTTGAGACAAGGCCTTATTAGGTAGCTTAGGCTGGCCTCGAACTCGCAGCCATCCTCCTGCCTAAGCCTCCATACCCAGCTTCAAGAAGCTTTTTAGACTTTGTGTATGTGTGTGTGTGTGTGTGTGTGTGTGTGTGTGTGTGTGTTACTGTGGATTGAACATGGGTTCACACATACTAAGTAAGACAGGGTTCACCAAGTTGTCCAGACTGAGTTGTAAACTCCACCCCACCCTAGCCTCCCGAGTAGCTGGGATTATAAGCATGGGACACCATGCCCAGCTCCTTTCTAGAGATTTTTTTTTTTTTTTTTTTTTTTGGTCTTTTTTTGAGACAGGTTCTTGCTGTGCAGTTCAGGCTGGTCTTGAGCTCACTTTGTAGCCCAGGTGTCTTGGTTACTTTCCTTTCGTTGCTGGGACAAAATACCTGATGTCCAAAATTAAGGAAGGAAAGGTTTATTTCGCTTACAGTTTGTGGAGGTCTCAGTCCATACTTGGCAGGTTACAAGGCAGAGTGGCACATGGCAGAGGGCTACAACTCCTGGCGGCAGAACACAGCAAAAGCAACAAGCACAAAAAAGGAGAAATGGCAGCAAGCAGCCTCTTGAGCTAAATCCCCAGCCCTCAATCAAACTCTAAAAGCCTGCCCCATGACCACATGAGGCTTTGGGGGGACACCCAGACACAAACCATAACACCAGGCTAGTCCTGAACTCGGGCTACCTGTCCCTTATCTTCATCCTCTAGTCCTGTAGCCTTGGCGATCCTCCTGCCCCAGCCTCCCAGGTGCTGGGGTTACAGGCGTGCGCCACCACGCCCGGCCCTTTCTAGAGATTTTTGATGGGACTGTGAAGCTGACTTGGCTGTTCTGAAGATGTTTAATCTGATAGCATCTATCCAAACATTGATTTTGTAGGTTTATATATGGGAATTTATCCTAGAAGTCTTGCCGAAGAGTACTAGACTCTCTCCTCTCTCTCTTTTCTGTTTTTGTTTGTTTGTTTGAGATATACAGATTGATAATTTTCAAGTCTAATTGAAGAGATGCTGTTATGGAAATTGACTTTGAGCCAAGTGTGAGTTCGAGGTCAGCTTGGGCTATATAGTGAGTTCAAAGCTGCCTGAACTACATAGTGAGACCCTCTCAAAAAAAAAAAAAAAAAAAAAAATTGAAGGCCAGGGATACTTATAGCTCAGTGGCACAGCACCTGCTTGGCAAGCATGAGGTCCTGAGTTTGATTCCCGGTGTTGTACAAAAAAAAAAAATTGACTTTCAAACTGATGGTGGTGCATGCTTGTAATCCCAGCTAATCAGGAGGCTGAGTCAGGAAGATACAGTGTTCAAGGACACAAAGGCTTGAGAAAGGACCACCATGAATTTGAATCCAGCCTCGGCTCCCTCATGAGTTCAAAGCTGGCCTAGACTGCATAGCAAGTCACTGTCTCGAAAACAATCATAGAAGGGCTAAAGATGTAGCTTGGTGGGAGGCCTGGGTTCTGTCACCAGCTCTGCAAAGCGGAAATGGACTGTGCACTGACATGAGTTGCAGGAGTCACATCCTCCTCATTCCCCACCCCAGGCTCAGGGCTGACCCCGCTGCTGTGGCCTCCGCATCTGGAGGCCAAGGCCCCGGATGGTGACTGGTCCAAGTGCCCGGCAGCCAGCCCAAGCAGTAGCTGTCGTCCCTGCTTCTCTCTTGGTCTGCCGTTTGCCATTTGCCGTTTGCCATTTGCCGTTTGCCAGGGGCCTCCTGGGAAGCCCTCGCCTGACCCTTCCCCTGAGGGATAAAGGGCGAAGGGCCCGGGGAGGCAGGTGTTGGGAGCACAGATGGAGGGGGAGACCAGGGCGCCTGTGTGCACGTGGGGTTCCGATTTATTTCTGTAGCTCACGGAGGACTGAACAGGGCCTTTGTGCCGGGCTTCATCCCAGCCCTTTATTTGGTTTTAAATTTGAAATTTTTACTTATTTATTTACTTATTTTTATTTTTAAATTTTGAGATAGTCTAAGTCACAGAGTTGCCCAGGCTGGACTCTGACTTGTGATCCTCCTGCCTCAGCCTCTCTGAGTGCTGAGATTACAGTGAAGGGCACCATGCTAGGCCATTGGAAAAAAATTTTTTTTTTGTCTTTTCTTCCGGTACCAGGAATTGAACTCACGACCTTGCGCTTACCAGGCAGGCGCTTTGCCGCTGAGCTAAATCCCCAGCCCCTGATGGGAGATTTTTATTTGATATTTTTTGGGGGAGTTGGTGGGTTTTAGGAACCTAGAACCTTGGGCATGCTAGGCATGCTCAGACATGATTTCTGGTTCTTGTTAGATACGATATCTCTATCTGTGTCTTTATCTGTATATATCTTTTTATTCTTTTTATATTTAGTTTTTGGAGGGCACCAGGAATTGAACTCAGGACTTTGCACTTGCCAGGCAGGCATTTGGGCTGCTGAGCTATATCCCTGGCCTGGGA